TCCTGGTTTATGCACGGCAACTTTAGATTTTACTCAGAGTCCTCCACTCTCTTGCTGGTCTGTCTCCATGTGTAGCTCAAGGGAGACAGAGCTTGGGAGTCCCCTCATGTGGGTGCTGGAGCCTCCCTGGGTGCTGTTCCCAGTCTCTGCCAGCCTGGGCTGCAGCTGTGGCAGCTGATGCTGATGGCCCACAGCTGGTGTGACTGTGAGCAGGCCCTCCAAGTTGGCTTTGACCATTCTGATCTTGGTTCCTGTGTGCTCTGCAGCTACAAACTGGCTGAAAACATCGATGCTCAGCTGAAGCGCATGGCACAAGATCTGAAGGACATTATTGATCACTTGAATACATCAGGAGGCCCAGCAGACTCGAGTGACCCGGTAAATGCAAGCTTTTATTTTATGTTGCTGAAGAGGCAAATGATATTGAAATAATTCTAACTCTTAATTTGTCCCCATGTGGATATTCCACTTATACTTTTTCTTCATACTATTTTTATATCCTCATAAAACAAGATCTGTATAACCAGCTCCTGATATCTTTTAAATTGATTTTGATGCTCCTTAGGGCTTTGCCCAGAAGCTTTTTTCTGCAAAAATTTCCTTTTAGTATTTTAGACTGAGTTTATCCACATTCATTTTGAATTTTGCCACCTTAAGCCTAAGGTTATGAATATTCTGCTGGTTCCTAGGTCTTAAATTAAGATAAGCCAAAGTCACAGACATGTTATCTAAACTGTTCAGTTTTCTTGCTGCTATGGAATAGCCAAGTAGCAGTGTTGCTGCACACACTTCCCTGGCTTAAGTGGCTGCTCTCTTGGGAAAGGCATAACTTTGCCTTTGACTCCTCCTGGTGTTTATGCCGTCTCGCAACTAACTTGCACCTTCTCTCTCTGCTCAGCTTCAGCAGATCTGTAAAATTCTGAATGCACACATGGATTCCCTGCAGTGGATTGACCAGAATTCAGGTGAGATTTGTCCTGCAGCCTTTTGGCAGTGTGAGTGGGAAGCAGGAGCTGTGTGTGAGTGTTCATCCCTGAATTCCTGAGGATGCCTGAGGAATCTTCCTCCTCACCCTTCAGTGGCATTGTCCCTTCCTACATCTGCTTGAATTCTGCTGCTGTGCCTGATGAGAGGCCTCTGCTGGGAAGTTATTCCTGACAACTGGTATTTTTACCCAAAAAGCCCTCCTTGAATTGCCTCAGTACAAAGAAGAGAACTTGAAAACCTTATTCATTCTGTCAAACTAATGTTAAATAGTTCAGCTTCTAAAGATTGTGTGGTTTCTCTGTGGTGCAGGAAAATTGGTGAGGGAAATGTGTGTTTGTTGAGTGTTACTATCCCTCCTAGTCTGAAAACAGGAAGTCACATCCAGATAAGATGGAGCAGCCTGCCTTGATCTGCAGGTGGGGTAACTGCAGGAATAGTATGGGAATTTCACAACCTCCAAAGCTTGAGTTCCATTGCACACAGAGATGCACTCAGGAATAGGCACTTGACAGTGGAGTCATACTAAAACAAGACAGAAAAAAGGAAGTTTTCTCTCTGGGAGAGTGCCTCCTGGTGAGGGATTCTGGAATTTTGTGCCGTTTGGATTTTAACTGGTAGCAGCCACACGGGGGCACGGCAGAATAAAGCAGCTCTCCTCTCAGAGCCCCAGAGCCTGGTTACAGTGCTGTGAAATGCTCACACCTGGGGTAACAACTTGCGTGAAAGCAGGCCTGCTCTTCTTCATGTTGGCTTAGGTCAGGGTCTAATTCGGTGTTTTCTTTCAGAACACTCCTGCTAAGCTTCCCATTCTAAACATGCCTTTTTCAGCAAATCTGGTACAGCTCCTGTGCAACCTGAATTTACATAATGTGTGTAAAAATAGCTATCTGTTTGCTTTAAACTTTCCTAGAAAGGAGACAAATTTTTTCTTTTGCCATTAAATAACGAAAACATTGTCTTATTGGTAGTACTTTGGGTTGTGTTTTCCTCCTGCTTTATCCACTGACAAATCTGAGTGACTGTCAGCAAGGAATTATTTTTCTTTCTGCAGGCAAAACTGTGCAGGGTTGTGTTCTGGGGTGACTGTGACATTTAATCCCTTGTTTCTGCCACAGCTGTGCTGCAGAGGAAGGTGGAAGAGGTGACCAAGGTTTGTGAGAGTCGCCGCAAGGAGCAGGAGCGCAGCTTTCGGATCACCTTTGATTGAGACATTCCCAAGTTCAAAGGATGAACGTAAAACCTCCACAGAAAACAGAGGTGTTTGGGAGCTGAGGACTGAAATAATGACCTGGTTTTGTTTCTTTTTTTACAATAAAATGTGCTGTTTGTTCAAAGCCAGTCTTTGTGGTGTTGGACTGGATTTCACGTGCTCCTATCAGAAACTGGATGAAGTCTGCAGGAAGTGTGTACTCCTTGTGCTTTAGCTGTGCCTGCAGACTGGTGAGGTAACAGAAATTCTGTCTTGGAGGACTCCTGCGTGCTTTTGCAGGAGGAGGCTGCAGAGGTGGCTTCTGTGAGAAGCTCCAGAAGCTTCCACCATGTCTAGCAGGGCCAGTCCCTGGTGGCTCCAAAAGATGGACAGAGTTGCTGGCCAGGGCTGGGCCAATTAGATATGGTGGTAATGCCTCTGCGAAACAGCTTTTTGAGAAGAAATAAATACAAATTTGATGCTCAGTTGTTATTGCAGCCAGGGAAGAGAGGGGTGAAAATCTGTGAGGGGAACAGCTCTGCAGACACCAAGGTTAGTGAAGGAGGGAGGGGAAAAAGGTGTTCCAGGTGCTGGGGCTGAGATTGCTCTG